AGAACTTTACCTGGTAAGCCACAGCCATGTGGTGATACACAGATTACTAGAAATGGGTTAAATTAAAATGTAAGAGCTAGCTGATAAGAAGTTAGAGTTAATAGGCCAAGCGGTGATTTAATTAATATAGTCTCTGTGTGATTATTTTGGATCTGAACTGCCTGGCAGCTGGGAAACAAATTAACGGCCTCTGTACAACAATGAAGTATTCCCCAAATGCTGTAGGAATGCTGGGAATTTGGTTTGTTGGGGACTGGTTGGTTGGAAGAAGCCAGCCACTGTCAGAGGTGAGTGTTTTGACATTTTATACCTCACTTCTTCTCATCTCTTTCAGCTTCCTGTCCGACATACATTGAGCCACCCTACTCTACTATGTGCCCCCCGCCCCCCATCGTGATGCTTTGTCTTAGAATGTGCCAGAAGCTAAGGGACCTTGGATAAGAGCCTCTGAAGCTGAAACCAAACACGTCTTTCATCATTCAGGTGTACTGTCAGAGCAATGGCTGAGAAGCATCTAACACAAACAACTCAAAAGACGCTAATGAATGGGCTGTAGGGCCAAGCGGTTAGTCGTTACAGAGCAGGACAGTAACAGATCTGGTGCAGATCAAATTTTAACAGCAACATGAAGCATTAGACATAACCCTTATTACACCTGCCAAGAGCCCGAGTGTTTGCTGGTAGATATAGTGGTTGACAACTACTCTTCAAATTTCCATATGAATTCAATCACAGTTTTAAAGATTAGCACAAGGGCTGGAGAGATGACTCAGTGGTTAAGAGCATTTGTTTCTCTTGTAGAGGACCTGGCTTCAGTTCTCAAACAGTGGCTCATGACCATATGCAACTCTAGTCCCAGGGGATCCAATGCCCTCCTCTGACTTCCACAGGCATCAGGCCTGCACATGGAACACATACATACATGGAGGTAAACCACTCATATATAAATAAGTAAATAAATCAGAAAATTAGCAAAAAAGGAGAGAAATACTTGGTGTATATTATTGTTACATTAATTATCTTACTTTGGTCTCTTAGAAATGTAGTCTTGAACCAGGAGTTTGAGGCTAGCCTAGTCTATATATAGAGTTCCAGAGTAGTCAAGGGAGACAAAATGAGGCCCTATCTAGAAAGGAAGAAAGAAAGGAAGGAAGGAAGGGAGGGAGGGAGAGAGGGAGGGAGGAGGGAGAGAGGGAGAGACGGAGAGAGGAAGGAGAGAAAAGAGATATAGACTTGGACCAGGAGTACTTATCACTAATTGATTATAGAATGATTAGATGGTATAAGAAACTGCAGTTATCTTCAATAGGGCAACACATTGATAAGATTTATGTTGGAAAAAAATAATGAAGTTTAGTAACTGGTAAAATATAGATGCTATTGTGAATTCTCTATAAGTTATGAGCTTTCTCTTCTGCCCAAGTTAGGACTGTGTAAATGGGGATGGGGGCAGAGCAGAGCAGAAAGCACCCAAGAGTTAGGCTGTAGCTGTGAATTCTATTGCTCATTAGCAATGTAATTTCCCCCATCTACTCATCTTTTCAACAAAGAAACTTCAGCCAGTGGCTATCTCTCTGTGCCCAGCTACATTTAGGATTGCAGGGCATGTAATCAATTCGGTTGAATTTTTTTTTCCACGTAGGAAGAACATTACAAAGAAGAAAGAGCAGTAGATGTTAGAACAACAGAACTGCCATTTAGATAATGGTTACGGATCAGCAAACGCACAGGGTTCAATCTAATTTTTTTAAAATGATTCATGTAATTTCAGTTCTTTATCTTTCCTTCTATAAATTATTCCAGGTAAGGCTGCAAAGGGCCAACCCTTTGATCACAGAGTTCCTTCTGTGGTGTTTTAAAGCAGCATAGGCACTGAGTCGTTTTACTACACTCATCCATTGTAGTGTATTTATACTGGGCAAACGAATATAAAATAAAGAACAGTCAGGCCAATGTGTTTACATGAGTACCCTCCCTTCAAGCACGCATCTTCATGTAACTCAAACCACCTGCTGATCATTTCAAAGCAAGAAAAGGCAGTGGTAGGAAGAGTCATGTGGAGCTAGGAGGTGGCTTGGTCAGTAAAGTGCCTATATCAACACAGAAACCTGAGTCTGGATTCCAGGCAACCACAGAGAAGCCGGGATAGCACATGTCTGTAACTGTAGTTCTGATGGAGAAGGGCAAAGACACAAAGATACCTGGGGCTCACTGGCCGTTCAGTCCAGTCAGCTGGTGACTCAGACTCAATGAGAGATTTCATCTCAAAAACTAGGGTGGAGAAGGGAATGCAAAGATGCTTGATGTTGTTCTTTGGCCTTTTGCCCATGGCCAACATGTATACAAATACATCACGCATGTTACACATATATGCACAGGTCATACACATGTTACACACATGTATCTAACACACTTTACACATGTGTGCACGAGTCACACATGTTACATGCATGCACCACACACCACACACATAAATGTTACACATACATTGTGCACTACGCACTTACATGTTACAAGCATGGACACATGTATTGCACATACACACACGCATAGAATAGAGTCACAGGAAAGGAAACATAGAGCAGGTCTGATATATTATGGCTTGGGAGGCTGGGAGCAGTGTCTCTTTGCTTTATGTCTTCTTTGTTCTTTGCTGTCAAACCCAGTAACCTCAGTGCTCAGGATGGTTGTTTGTTACACTTTTCTCTGTTTATTTATATTTCTCAGGATTTTCATTGTTATTAAGCCTTGTAAATATATTTGTCCAAGTGACAAAATCCAAGTGATCAACTTTGTGATTGATAACAGAGCTGTTTCCCAGTGTTCTTAAGAGTTCAAAGGCATTAAAGCAAATCAAGACCATAGCTTACTTTCTCACTTATGACACTGACAACCATCAAAGAATTAGTCTTTTTTTCTAGAGACTGTAATTGGCCACTTTTGATTTTAGTTACTATGAGCAAAGCTGTAAGGTTTATGTGTTTCCCCCCCTTTTCTGACAGTGGACTGTGGAAGGAATTTTAAAGGGGAAACGAAATGTCACACCTCTGATGTGGTTGGTGGAGAGGAGAGATTTAGCCACGCTCTTGCCTCTAGCTCACTGACTCATAATTCCTTCCCACTTCTTATTCTAGGAGCCCACTTTGTGTACTTGGCAGCCGGGGTGTAAATCTTGGGATTCGAAATGCCACACATTTTTCCTCCTGCCCCGCATATGGCTGTCAGAATTTCACAAGAAAGAACACATGCTCATCCCATTAGGAGACATGAGCATCTTCTTTTCCACGGAAGGAGGTGGTTCTTCCTTTTTAACCTGAGCAGACGACAAGTCATTTTTCTAACTTGGGAATGGGTAGGGGAAGCCTGTCACCTCGTCTGAAGCTGTAGAAGGTGAATCTGCCCATTCTGCCCCCATCACCTGGTCTGAAGCTGTAGAAGGTGAATCTACCCAGTCTGCCTGTCACCAGGTCTGAAGCTGTAGAAGGTGAATCTACCCAGTCTGCCTGTCACCAGGTCTGAAGCTGTAGAAGGTGAATCTACCCAGTCTGCCTGTCACCAGGTCTGAAGCTGTAGAAGGTGAATCTACCCAGTCTGCCTGTCAGTCACCTGGTCTGAAGCTGTAGAAGGTGAATCTACCCAGTCTGCCACCCTCTTAGCTCAGAGATCAGAAATTAATTGGCTACACCTTTTTTTTTTCTTCAAATTCTGAGATTCCTTTGAAGTTCAGTGGGGGAAGAGGAGGAGGGCAGGGGACTGGCACAGAGCTGAGGACCAAGTTCCCTTTCCCCCATGCCTTGTTCTCAGGGTGCCTGAGCCAAGCACTAGCAATTTAAGGCAGTTCCATCATTTATATAATGAGAATTTCTGCTAAATCATTTAATTTTGAGCACACTGGGTCTCCTTAAAGGTCTTTCCCATAGTGTGGGAGATAATTAAACACCTCTTATATGGCAGTTAAATTTGGGGAGAAGGAAAAGAGAATCAGATGGATAATTTTAAACCAAGTGCACGTTTAACTGTTTAATGCAGTGATTCTGTCCTGATTATAGGTACAGCTTTAAGTTTGAGAAAGCATTTTTCCACATGACATTTAAAAACTTACTCATGAGCCAGGCGGTGGTGGCGCACTCCTATAATCCCAGCACTCGGGAGGCAGAGGCAGGTGGATCTCCGTGAGTTCGAGGCCAGCCTGGTCTATAAGAGTTAGTTCCAGGACAGGCTCCAAAGCTACAGAGAAACCCTGTCTCAAAAAACCCAAAATCAAACCAAACCAAACGAAATGAAACCAAAAAGCTGAACTTGTGTTTTGGACAGGAGAGAAGAGAGCGACAACCGTGTGTTGCAGTCTTCAAACAGAGAAATACGTTCACTCTTGTGAACTCATGTAAAGTCACACAGACGCCCCGCACAGGCAATCATGCCTACTTTTAGTTTGTAACCACGCAAGCTCATGTGTTTACATGTATGGACACTCCTGGATTACTGTGTAACTCCACTCAGTGCAACAGTAATGTACAGGATACTGCCACATACTGAGATCTTGTCAGGCATTCAGTAAAAGGTTTTGGGTTTGGGAACTGAGGTGGACTGTCCTTTTGGGTAAAAGGCTTGCTAGAAGGACTGTTAAGGCCACAGACAGCAGCACGATGGGGCTCTGAGGAGAGTTCGGGCCCGCATGGTAGAGTGCTGGACCCTTGTTAAACAGGTGAGGGATTCTGTTACCCTGGGGCCTGTTTGTAGAATCAGTTACGGGGTTGAAATCTAGGGCAAGAATCTAGAATAAGTTACTTTGGTTCTAGGCACCAAATTACTTTAGTTTTGGGAATTGTTATTATTCAACTAAAATGGAAGAGCGTTTACTAATTGGCATGGCCATGACAGACACTACTCATGGCAGATGGGGCTTTAACCCCACTGTGACAAGTAGGCGACATTTATTGTCAGAGTTTGGTTCAAGTCCTGTACCCCGATATTGGCATGCCAGTTTTTGTTCGTCTTACCTGAAGGATCTTATCCCCAGGCTGTAGTAGGTTGGATGCTGGTCCATCAGGCTGAACCCTAGTAACAAAGATACCCTATAAGTCAGAAGTGACATAGGTTAGGAGTTTATCCCCAACAAGTAGGTGCACTTAAATACATTTCCATTCATATAGAAAACAGTAAAAACAGCTTTAAAAAAAAATCACAGTTTACACAAATAAGTTTTACAAGGGTTATAGTATTTAACTACAATTGCTCTACAGTCAAGTCTAAGAAAAAGCACATTTAATATGAAGATTACCCTGTCTTTTATAAAGTACAATTGCAGTTTACATACCAACCTCACAGCCATCAATAGAAATACCTTTTTGTATAAATTCTGAATTTGCTATAACTACTGGTACAGGCTGCAATCCCAGTAATCAGGAGGCCGAGGCAGGAGGATTGATGTGAATTTGAGACAAGTAGGGCTACATAGTGAGTTCCTGGCAGTCTGGGGTGCAGTGTGAGACTTTGTCTCAATAGTGAGCAAGCAAACAAACTAATAAAAGATGAATCAAACCAACTAACTAAGCAAACAAAGCCCTCAACCAAAGCAAAAACAGCTTTGTCAAATTTAGTTGTAAAATGGAATATTTTGGTGGAAAAGACAGGAGGATGAAACGCAGTGCCGGCTTCTCTGATCACAGTGGGCATCTACGTTGTGAGGACAAGCACAGACCCTGCAGTCAACCCTTCCTCGGTCTGGCAGCTTGCATGTACCATCTACCCAGGGGACTGCTACTGATTTTAGTTAGCACCCTTTGGAAGCCTCCCTCTTTCCTACCGTGCTGTGACAGGCAGAATGACGGTATTGTCCCAAACAAGCCCCTAGTCTCTGGTTGCCTCCAGCGACTGCCACTCAGGTGACCCTGATCGCCTCTATTCGGCTTCCCATGCAGCGACAGTTTAATAAGGTTTGCATAAATCCAAACCACAGGGGCCAAGCTATACATCCACATCCACAACACTGGGGCTCTCACAGCGCACAGCCTGGCTGCCTGGAGACATGAGGTTGGCATCTGCGACATGCTTAATATCAGAAGCAGCATCGCGACTGCACGATTCCATCACTGTTCTGTGAGTTTGCTGTCAAGCTGACTTTTACAGTGGCCTGAGCTTTCTAAGGCTGTTATTGCTGTTTCCTAAAGCTTTGCTATTTATTTCCAGCCAATCCTTTTCATGGACTAAGACGCTTCCATTGCTGTCGCTCCCTTCTCTCTGTGTGTCCTATTCCCAGCACATGGCCATGTTAGGGAAAGCAGTGATCCATGAGGGTGCCTTGTGACACCAGTTTTGTATTTGTATTATTATTTGTATTTGTGTGGTGTTGCCCCAGGACTGCCTCAGGATCCCAGTGTCTCAGTTCTCCAGTGTTTGGAAAAGACTGTAAATAAATCCAAGCCTCTCTGAGCCTCCATGCTAGTGGGGTCGATTGGAGATGAAAACAGTGACAACATGTCCTCTTTCAATAACTCCCTTTGTTCTGAGACTTGAGAGAGTATTTTGACAGCGGGGAGTCATCAGACTTTTGTATTAAAAATTACACGAATAATATTCCTTCTGGTAAAAAAAAATCATATCATATGGAATACAGCAAGCCATTCGGTTGGTGTTTTAGCAACTTGGGGTGGGGGGATTTGGGCATGTTCAGATCCTGACATGTGAGGAGACATGAAGATATGCTGCAAACTATCAAACAATGCATCAGAAAGTACACCAATATCCCGGCATCTGAAGCTACAGCCACATGCATCTCACCCCAGGAAGGGACCCTTCCCCATCACCCCACATCTCTTCTGTATTGAGCAATATGTATTTGACTTTTGACTGCAGCTGTAACAAATCTCCACAGATTCAGTGACTGAAAACACTGCCAAGCTGACCACCTCACAGTGTTGGAGTTCTGACCTGGCTGTCATGGTTTCAGAGCGAAGGCACATGTAGAACTGTATACTACGAAGGGTCCTCTTGTTGAGAACTCACTTTCTCTTCCTTTCTAGAACAGCTTCTAGGGATGTGCAGACTCTTGGGTGATAGCCTCCTCCTTGCTCCTTTCTTCAAAGACAGCACAGACCATCCCTTCCTCCTACCACAGCCAGGGGAGGTTTCCCACCTCCAAGGACTCATCTGGATAACCTAGGGTAGTCCTAGCTCAAGGTTCCTAGCCATGGCGTATTCAAAGTCCCCTTTGCTATATAACATGCTATGTTAATGGGTTCTGGAAATTAGAGTGTGGTCACATTTGGGGAATCATATTTTCTGTCTGGCATACTGTAGCTATAGCCAACACTGCTCTGGTGTTAGCCTTCTGTGTGTAACGTTTAAAAACTGGCAAGTACATTTTTAGATACATAATGTTTCTTCACTAGTGAAATGTATATGAAATGGCACAAAGAGAGAGATGTCTTAAGTGGGCGGATGCATATAGAACCCACGGGACAGCAGAAAATTCCATAGATGATCAATAACTAATGCTATAGTTTTTGAAGGTCTTAAGGCTGAGCTACATTTGAATATCTTATATCCAACAAATCCCACTTTGAGAACATTCCTAGATTTGCTGGCCAAAAGTTACTCCTCTCAGTGAGCATATTAACCAACATTTGCCATCTTTACTTGAATCCCACAGGTAAAGGGATTAGCTTCTCTTATGTCGGAAAGGCGTGCTGGAAAGTTCTTCTTGCCTCATCTGTGGACTCCTTGTGGTGGCTCATTGTGACAATGGCTTCTATCACTGGCTATTGACCATAAAGGACCTAGGTTCCATCTGGGGAGCTTTCCAGCTCTTGATGACTTCCGGAAGCTCTTTTCATTGTTGTTCCAAGACAGAATTGTCAGCTCTTCATTTGCCTGACAGACTCTTCTGTAGCTTATGGCATCTCTGACTACGTTTGACTAATGTCTCTCACCTAATGATTTCTCCATGGTTCCTTAATGACTCAGACGCATGGTTTAACTTGGTACTCCTCCTAGATGCTAAATGATGTCTCAGAGCAGAGCACCATGGGTGCTACAAAGTTATTTCCAAAGACAGAATCCTTGTTCTTTGTAGATATTAACATTTGGGTGCATGTAATATTTACATAGATTGCAAAGAGTCATGTATCAGAGACCGCTATAGATGTTTGACATTGCTAATCCTGTTAGGGCCCGCTGGCTGCTCTACTTGACATGACCTGTTGTCATGTAGTTTTAATTATGTGTGTGTGTGTGTCTGTCTGAATGCGGTATGTTCACACGAGTTCAAGAGTTCTCAGAGGCTTGGAGTATCAGATCTTCCTGGAGCTAGAGTTGCAGGTGATTGTGAGGCACCTGATATGGAAGCTGGGGCCTGAACTTGGGTCCTCTGCAAGCAGTATGTGATCTTAATCACTAAGACATCTTTCCAGCCTCTACATTTCTGTCCTGTATTAAAATTTGTCTATTTGCAGTTATATGATCTTCACGAAGCATCCATAAACAGGGTTATGAAAGCATCAGTGTTAAGATCTGACCTATTCTGGTTATCTAGCCTCTGAATACCATCCAAGGAGTTACCAAGTTAAGTCTGCAAGGCCAGCACTTCACATTCTAACTTTGAGAAGAACGGAACTTTGTATGGTTTTCTTAATGATGAAGGTGAATGACTGTGACAATCTCAGCTATTGTCAACGTAGACACAAAAATAGAACTAGCCTTAAGGTCCCTGCAACCTCAATGCATGAAATACCTCTTTTTAAAATTCCCTAAAGTATTATCTTTAGTTACTACTTGGAAATGGTTTCTAAGAAGGCCATATCACAAGTAAAAATTATATATGTTACAATTCAGAATATTTTATTTTTACATCAAGTATTTTAGAATATAGTCTTTCATGTATTCCTGTAAGTATGAAAGTTCAGAGAGAGTTTCCAGAGGGAAAATGACTCATTAAAGAAGCAAATGAACTGGATGTTTTATAGTGTTGCAGGGGACACTGCTTTCTCACCAGAGAAGGATTAAGTACTAGCTTCCTCCACGAAGCAGGCAACCTAGATTTACTTACATCAAGGCTTCTAGAAGCAATGTTAGATCACTCTGCAGTACAGCCTCTGTAATGGCTGTAATGGGCACTCCAAAAACAAAGACAGCATGATATTGTGTGATGATGAACTCTCTTAAAGTTTAATTGTTATGTGTCAGGTCTTAGACTTTGAACAATCTGCTGCCTTAGTAACAGAAGAATTTATGTGGAACAAGAAAAGATTTTTGTTCCATCGCCATTAGAAACTAAGAAGAACTTCCCACAGGGCAGGGAACCCTGATTGCTCTTCGGGCTGACAAGGGAGGGGGACTTGAGTGGGGGAGGGGGAGGGAAATGGGAGGCGGTGGCAGGGAGGAGGCAGAAATCTTTAATAAATAAATAAATAAATAAATAAATAAATTAATATATATACATACATATATATATATGTATATATGTAGAAACTAAAAAGAGAGGAGACCAAGATAGGGGATGGAAAAAATGGAAAGGGAAGAGAAAGAAGGAAGGGCAACAGCAGCTGAATAGTGTGCTTCTCCCCAAACGGTGAAGTTTAATACTCATAAAAGGTTGTGATGGGAACCAGCGTGATGGCTCAGCTGGTGAAGGTGTCGCCATCAGGTCCATAACCTGAGTTTGATCCCTGGACTCACATGGTAGAATGAGAGACCCAACTTCTAAGATTGTTCTCTGACCTCCACGTGTGTGCCACAGTGCACACACACTTGTGCAGGTGTGCATAGACAACACAACAAACAGACCAATAAATGATCAATCTTTCATGCAAAGTTGACTGGAATGAGGATCATTTGGAGACACACCCCTAGGCCTATCTGTGAGAGTGTTTCCAGAGAGGTTAACTGAGAAAACAAGACTCCACTCCATAAGTCAGTTCCAGAAAGAATAAAATGAAAAGAAAAGAGAAAGTAGGAAGCTAGCTGAATGCCAGAATTCATTTCTCATTGCTTCTGGACTAAAGATGCAATACGACCACGAACCTCACTTTCTCTTTCTCTGTCGTACTCTCCTGCCGCACAAGATGGGGCTCTCAAA